AAAAATGGTATATCTAGATTTATTTTTGAGCAAGGTAAAACTTATCGACTTCGTATCATTAATTTTAGGTAAGTTATGTGTTGTTTTATAAGATTTTTCTTTTCTGAAAAAAAATTTATTTATTTATTTATTTTATTTGTTTTGGATTAAATAGTGCTGAATCCCCATTCACCTTTTCTATTGACGGCCATCTTCTTAAAATAATCGAAGTTGAAGGAACTTATGTCGAACCAAATTATGTCAGTCATCTTTACTTAAATGTTGCTCAACGATATTCTGTTATCGTCAAAGCAGATCAAAGAGTTGACACTTATTGGATGCGTGCAAATCGTGCAGCAGAATGTCTCGTAACTCCAAACAACCAAACAATTAATTTCGATTCACCAATCAATAATAATGTCACAGCATTAATTCAGTATGATAATGCTCCACTGAAAACTCCAGTCAGCGAAATGTTACCTTATGACAATGATTTTCTTCAATGTGAAGATCCATCTTGGGAAAAATTAAGACCATCAAAAGAAATTGAAAAAGATCTTCCGTCTTTTACAGGACCTGCAACAAGTCTTTTTAATTTCCAATTTAAATTTGGTGTTAATCTACAAAATGTCAGTCTAGTATACGTTAACAATGTTTCATTTATTCCACATCTTAATTTACCCACTGTTCAAAAACTTTTTGATGGAATAAATCCTCGAGAATTGGCAAAATCGGAGAATAAATACCTGATTGCTTCGAATGGAACTGTAGATGTAATAATCGTAAACGACAACGGGGCTCAACATCCTTTTCATCTTCATGGTCATAAATTTGGAATTATAACTGAAGGATATCTTTTAGATGGAAAACCAACTTTTAATGAAACCACACGTTACAATTTTGAAAATCCAGTAATTCGTGATACTGCAAGTGTACCTCCGTTCAAGTATTTTATAATAAGATTTAATGCGACCAATCCTGGTGTTTGGCCATTACATTGTCATATTAAATGGCATATTGAAATGGGTATGCTAATTCAGTTTATTGAACGACCAGATGATTTATTAAAGCTTGAATATCCCATAGCTGCTAGAGATTTGTGTCATGGAATCATAGAATAATATTATTGTAAACTAGGCGGGGGGGGGGGGGGGGGGGAAAAAAATAAAAATAAAAATAATTTTTTCTTTTGAGGTTGAAAAAATTTTTTTTTTTTTTTTTTTTTTTCAAATTGATTATCGTTTTAAAGCAACACACCATTATTATTATACAAACAATTTAAAATGATTTTTTTTCGAATTGAGACATGTGGAAATAACACAATTAATAATAACTACTGCTTGCATTCAATTCGCCTCTTCTCCAAACAACTTATTTTGTTGGTTTTTTTTTCAAATTGATTATCATTTTAATGCGCAATACAAAACAAACTACTTATTAAAGATGAGCAGCAATATTACTATTATACAATTTAAAATGATTTATTTTTCGAATTGAGAAATGTGGAAGCAACACAATCAAAATAACTACTTCTATTACTATGTTGCATTCAATTTGATTCTTCTCCAAACAACTTATTTTGTTTTTTTTCCATTTTAAGCAACATATCATTACTATTATTATTTATATATACAACTAAAATGATTATTTTTGATTGAAAATGAATTTATTTTTTTCAAGCTCATTTAGGAAGCATAATTAAAAATAATACAATTGTTCATTCTATCCAAATTTGTTATTATAGAAATATGTCGTATGCAAAGAATGATCTGCATGTATAATCTATAAAGGGTTTGTGTAATAAACTGGTTACACCGAACCGGTTGAACCGCCCCATCCCTATCAGCAACAGAATATGAAGAACGTTTGACTTTTGGCATTGCGTGGGAAAAAAATGAATAAAACTTAACACAAATGATGAAATAAGGAAACATAATGTAACACAAACAAAATCTCCCGAATATAAGCAACACCTGCAGTTTTGTTGACTAAAATGTGTTAAAATGGTGTTGCTTATATTCAGGAGAATACGGTAAACTTTTTACTGCTATCGTTAATGGGGATGAGAAATTAGCAAAAGACAAAATAGCATTAATTAGATCTTTTTCAGCAAATAGCTTATCAAAATTAAGTCAAAGTGATATTGATTTTGTAATCGTCAAAGTTTTGAAAAAGGGGAAATAAAAGTGCGGTATGACTTACTGCGCCATGATACTGCGCCCTTGTGACCACGGGTCATAGACATTCATACAAAGGATAAAATGTTTCTCTACTACTACTATGATTTCTGATTTCCGCTTGATTAAACATAATTATCCAGATCATCTTTGATACTATCCTCGTTTATACTCCTATCTACTTTGGTAATGATTGCATTGCGTAAACATCAGAAGTCCCATTATACTTTAGGATGTGAGATTTAAGTCCTTCGTTTAGTCCATAACCTTGATCCTCTGCAAAGCTCTTTTTCAAGTATACTTGTCCCCAATGAATTAATTCCTTGACCGTTACTTCATCGTGAAAATCAGAAGGAATACCATGCATATATTTTACGGGATCTTTCTTAAATGCGGGTAAGTAATAGTAAGGAAGAAATTCAAATTTGATTTTTTTATAATCGATCAGATAATCTGTATGTTGTACGACATTTGAATTAGGCTGTGCAATGAAATTATTTTTAGAATTTCAATGTATACGAGACATGGAAGGTCATGGAAATTCTACATGCGTGATCTGATTGATAAACTATAAAACGACCATTTCCTACTAAAAAAAATCACTTCTCTTTTAATCTGTACAAACCGCATTACTTATTTTTATTCAAGTAATAAACAAACATGTCTGATACCCCCATTCTGTCAATCGAAGTAGTTAAGAAATGGAAACGAGCTAATGTTGTTGATTTTTTGAAAGAGAAAAAAGAAGAGTTAGAACTTGAAAATGAGGATATCCAGATAATTGATAACAATAGGGTTAACGGTTGTGCCTTCCTTGAGTTAAATGTAGATAAGCTTATGCAGGATGGATTAAAAAGAGGACCAGCTGAAAACATCACGCAACTGATTAAGGATATTAAGGGGGGGAAGAGCAGGGTAAGTACCATGATTGTATTCAAACATTTCAAACCTACACTGCCTCTCTCGCTGTCATTTCATTTTTTAACTTGTGCTTTCACTCGTCCGCATACGTTATATGATATTTTAATGTTACCCACTTTGCTTCACAGGTCATGAACAAGAACGCGAAATTGGTAAGCTGGAAAGTATTTCAAAGGATACGTTACTGAAACTTTGTATCTCTAATGATCTGTTTCTACTATAGAGGATTCCTTGTATTTTTTGACTCTCAACATGCTCAAGACTAAGGTTGCGGGAGAAACTCCTCCAGAAATCAATCGACAGAGTTTCGACAGGTTACACATTAATTGTTTATTAGAGTTTCGGCAGAGTTTCGCATTTGGGGTTTTCGCCAATCATCAGAGTTTTGACAGGTTACACATTAATTGTTCATTAGAGTTTCGACAGAGTTTCGACAGTCATTAAGAGGTTTCGCCCACAACCTTACTCAAGACTAAACCTGAATTCATTCCATCCCGCTCGGATTTATTGAATTACCTTCAACAACCATTTGCCAAGCCGATCGAGGTTAACCCAACTTTGTATGATTTTTATTTGAGGTCGAAACTTCCTCTAGAGACTTTGAATCAATTTTTTGTGAGTTCAGATAAAGCATCCAGTAGATTGTGGACCGAATATATTGTACACATTGCCTGCCCTCCTGAGACCAGTGCCACCGAAGATTCATTCCATGGGTTTTGGGACGCACTTATTGTCAAACCTTTTAAAATTGGATGTCCAGACGGAATACACAATCGAAACATGTCTCGTCACTTCCACAAGGAAATATAGACCCGATCTTTCGTATTTGGTGTTTGATGCCTGTCTTGCGAGAGGGGAGGAAAAGGGACCTGAAACTAATGATGATCCAGCAATGGAACTAATCTTGAAATTAACATGGACGTATGGAAATTGTCCCTACATCTTTGGGTACTATGCAATTGCCACTAGGGTGACGTACTGCTATTTGTATCTCGAGGGAAACAGCATTGAACGGAAGGACTTGTTGACTTGTTTACTGGATAAAGTGGAGGGACGCATACAAGCCTTCAATATCGGAAGAAACATTGGTCGATTATTACACTTACTTCGCCAAACTGTGCCAGAGTATTTTCAGCGGGAATTTGTTGTTCTTCATCGAACGAGCGGTAAAGTGATTGAATTTATGCAAAATACAGTTGTGAAACGTTATCCTTCAGTGGATTCTGTCATGAACCTTAAGACCCTTTATGATGAAATGGCCAAGCATCAAGTTCCTTTCATTGATTCCCTCAATCACGTCAATATGGAGGAAGGATCAACTCCATTCATGATTTTTTTACCAAAGGGCATGATGTGTAAACCACGATCAAAGGAACAACTAATCAAAGCATTGTGTTGTGTTTTGACTGCCCTTAAGGTATCTATTATCTTTCATTTTATCCATTGTCTGCTATGTTGAAAACGTAGGTATTTTATAAACGAATATACATTCTCAGGCTCTCCACAAAATGAAAATCATGCATCGCGATCTCCGTTGGGATAACATGTTAAAGTCCATAGATCGAGACAGTTGGTTCATTATTGATTTCGATGACGCGTGCCATGTTCCTTCAAATATTCCTAACACACAATTAGCTAAAGAAAGTCATGCACCTGAGATTTTTGAATTCCATCACAATGAGAGTGTTGATATTTGGTCTGTCGGATATTTGATTCGGACGGCCTCTGTTGAGCTTCAAGAATTGGATGAATTGAAAGTTTATGCAAGAATGAACTTGATGGCAAAGGATAAAATTAATAGACCAACAGCCAAAGATGCTTTGCGGTGGCTTTGGAGCAAATATAGAGATGTTCTCAAAGATTTTTTGGAAGAGGAGGAAATGGAAGAATCATAATTCAGTTATTAATAAAAATGTTAAATAGCTACGCCTGTAATAATTTTCGGGGGATTAATTTTTTTAAATGCTTGAGTCATCCGCAAAATAATATAATGATTCAAATTCTGCCCAAATGGGTTGTTGGTTTAGATTATATGGCAGGATTGCATAATTTATTTTTAGCATTTTAATAAAAAAAATCTTTGCACATGACACTTGTGATAATTTTTGTGCGGTCCTGTTTACTTCGTCGAAAATTATTTCGTCGACAATCATTTCGTCGAAAGTTCATTTCGTCGAAAGTTCATTTCATCGAAAGTTCATTTCGTCGAAAGTTCATTTCGTCGAAAGTTCATTTCGTTGAAAGTTTGTTTTGTCGAAAATTATTTCGTCGACAATCACTTCGTCAACAATCACTTCGTCGACAATCACTTCGTCGACAATCATTTCGTCGAAAGTTCATTTCGTCGAAAGTTCGTTTTGCCAAAAGTTCATTTTGCCAAAAGTTCATTTTGCCAAAAGTTTATTTTGCCAAAAGTTCATTTCGTCGAAAATTATTTCGTTGACAGTTCATTTCGTCGAAAATTATTTCGTCGGCTTATGTATCGTACTAATGATAAATGAGGTGATGATAGTGATGGCAACAGTATTGACATTGAATATTTTAGTATTGGTAATAATTATTGTTTTTTAGTAGAGTGTGTGTATCAGACAAATTGGTAATATTCCTTTCATGATACATAAATTTGAGTTATTCGTATACTTGCAAACTAATTAGCACTCTGATTTTACCTGAATTTTCTGAATTCAATCAGGAATGTATAATATCTAATTACAATCATACAAATGTAAATTATACTAATAATAAATAAATTAAATGGTTACGCTAAATCATTAAATCGAAAATTAGTTTTTGAAATTATTAAAATCGTATGATTACATGGGTCTGACAATCAAGTAAGGTTTCTAGCCCAAGCTGTTTCTCAAAATTCAAACTATTTTGTCGAGTTGGGTTTTTCAACATTTTTTATACAGAGGTAGGTATATTAGACCAGAAACCAAGCCATCAGACGAATTTTTTTGTACTTTAATTACAAAAGTATAATAATAATATCGTGTTAAATAAAAATTTTTGTCAATTTTTGGCTAGCATCATAATTATGCATGCTCTATAACTTGTTTTTTAAAAAAACAATAATAATAAATTTTTTTTTGTTACATGCATTATTTATTTGATAATTTTAGTATTTAATTTTAAAATCAAATTGGTTATTGTTACCAATCACTTGCTAACTTGAAAAAGTATACAATATATCTGATTTTATTTAAACAATTAGAAATGTGTGTTTGTTTGTTGTACATCAAGTTTTTTTTTCTTCCTTTATTCAATTGACAAAATAATCAAAATAGGCTTCGGGTCATTTTTAATTTCTAAAATTTTTGCACATTTTTAATTTGTAATATAAGGAATTTATAAAATATTCCGATCAATACTATTCGTATGAATTATTTGTATTTGTATTCGTGTTACGTTTTGTCTTCGGGTCATTTTTAATTTCTAAAATTTTTGCACATTTTTAATTTGTAATATAAGGAATTTGGCAAAAACCCACTTTGTACAAAGATGGGTTTAAAAAATTTTAAAATCAACAATTAATTATTGTTACCAATCGCTTGATACTCGGAAAGAGTATGGTTTACTTGTTGTCTACATAACAATTTTAATTTCTAAATTTTTGCGCATCTTTAATTTGCAATATAAAGGAATTTGGCGAAAACCCACTTTGTACAAAGATGGGTTTAAAAAATTTTAAAATCAACAATTGATTATTGTCACCAATCGCTTGATACTCGGAAAGAGTATGGTTTACTTGTTGTCTACATAACAATTTTAATTTCTAAATTTTGCGCATCTTTAATTTGCAATATAAAGGAATTTGGCGAAAACCCACTTTGTACAAAGATGGGTTTAAAAAATTTTAAAATCAACAATTGATTATTGTTACCAATCACTTGATACTCAGAAAGAGTATGGTTTACTTGTTGTCTACATGACAATTTTTTCATTATAAATACAACTATAATTCGCAAAGACATCAGAATAAAATTTTCTTAATTAATTAATTTGATACTTCGGGTCATTTTTAATTTCTAAAATTTTTGCACATTTTTAATTTGTAATATAAGGAATTTATAAAATATTCCGATCAATACTATTCGTATGAATTATTTGTATTTGTATTCGTGTTACGTTTTGTCATATTTATTAATGATTAATTATTTCATAATGCGATATTTAACGTAAGAAAACGACTAAATTAAACTTTGAGTAATGTTGAACCAACAACGGGATGATATGACAACAATGGAAAATTTACTAGAACATTCAAAAAAATCATT